GTCCGAATCAAGTCGCTGTCTCCCCGCGTAAAGTCCCTGCAAAACTGGTCCAAAACGATAGCAACGCCGGTACCGGCTCAGACCAAACTGACCCAGGATAAACTGGTAAAGGAGTTTGGCCTTATTGTGAGTGAATATCAGGCCGCTCAGGCCAAGCTAGCCGAAAAGCAAAAACAGGATCTTTTGCGTGCCCAGGGCCAGTTGAACTCAGCCCTGCACGCCGATGGCTCCTCGCATGTCAACGCATCATCACCTTCGCAAGTGGCCATGGAAGCATATCACGATGACGAGCCCATTGACGGTTTGGTTGGCAATCAAGATAGCACATTCCTTAGTTCGCAACACCTGGCCCCTGACCAATCATTGCTGAACCAATCAGAGGTAGAATATCAGCAAAATCTCATCGCCGAGCGCGAGGGTGATATACAGGAAATTGAGTCCAGCATTCAGGAACTGAACGATATCTTCACAGATCTAGGGGCTATAGTGACCCAGCAAGGTACAATTGTAGACAATATTGAGTCGAATATCTATAACGTGTCCACCAATACTCGCCTTGCCTCATCGGAACTCATAAAAGCCGATCGGTATCAGCGACGATCAGGTGCCCGTGCCTTTTGTTTTCTAATGATCCTGTGTATTCTTTTGGCCGTGATAATTTTAGCCACCTTTTTGAGTTAGCTTGCAGCATATATTATTTAAATGGACCCAAGTAAATTATTTCTTTAAAAATCCTTTTGTTTTAACTATACAATATGATTTGACATATACTACATTATTCCTGTACGCCGTTTTTTAGCTCGCTTGGTTGCCTCCTCAGCTTTTTTGGCTCGCCATCCACAGTATTCAATGAATGGGCATCTAGGGCATTTGTAATTAACCTCGCTTTCACTAGCCCCTTCCGGCTCACGGGTGCCGTGCCAGAATCCAAATCGGTAATCTAAAATTTTGTTCAGCTCAGTAGCCGAGTATGAGTAACTGACTGTGCTAATCGGTTTGGCCTTTCCACCTTGTTCAGCTATGTAAACGTATTCAACATCTAGCCGATTAAAAGCTTTGCCTTTGAAAATACCAAGGGCCGGTAGTAGGCAATTCACCATGATCTTTCGAATAGTATTCACCGAGCTGTAATCTATTTGACCATTGGTTTTATAAATTAGGTCTAAAATCAATGGATTGACCTCAATATCCAACTCAAGGCTAAAGTCGTTGACAAGGAGGTCCAACACTATCGTAGGTGAGACAGCAGCATGGTTGGTCAAATCACTAAATAAGGAGTGATATAAAAGTAATTGATGAAACGCCGAGAGTTGCTGAGATTTTAGCGGTAAGCTATCCCTACCACGAGTTTTAGTGTCGGCAAGCTTGACGTACCAATTTGCAAAGAAGTTACCCGAGGCCGATTCACGCTCATAAAACGAATTCTTATCTTTATACCAGCCTTTAATATGATCCAAAATATGCTGTTCAACCGCCTGGCCTTTTTCATCCACAATCTCCAAACCATCAATAATACCAGTCACTAGAGTACCACGTAGTTTAGCAAATACGTAAAGCTCTCGCGTTGCCCCGCTCATAATCAAGGCTCTGAGCATAACATACATACCTTGAAAATGCAGCCATCTAACGTCCTCTTCGCAGTTTATTAAAGCCTCTGGTACCTCGATTTGCTCTCCAATGCCCTCTACCGCCATTTCGAGCTGGTTGTGGTACTCAGTGCCGATATCTACCTGGACGGACTGAACTCGCTCGAGTCCGCAGAGCTCATAGAAAGATTGTACTTCACAGTACTTTGTGGTCATATCAGTCACACTCAGTCGACCATCTCGAAACACATTAAATGGTGTCTCAGCTGAGGGTTCGATTTTTGAATTTAACTTCGTGGCAACGATTGTTTTGTCAGTAAAGGAGCCCAAGTCTTCAATATCAACATATTTCGACTTAGGAACTAAACTTAGTGGTAAAACACCCGTTTGCGGATCTGGCTTAATGTAGGGTGATGTAAAGTTATTTGATTTCACTCCAGTGTATGGCTCTGATGTGACACTAATGTTTCGTTTGAGAAATGATTTTGTGATCTCAGTGGCGTGGATAGTCTGACTAGAGGTAACACCGATATTTTTATAGGCACCGAATTGTTCATGATCCTGAATAAGGGTTTTTATTATCTCTTCTTCATCTAAATCAAACAGGAAAGATTCATCAGATTCAATAAGCAACTCCGCTTCTTGAGGTTCGTCAGCGGGGTTGGAGTCAACCTTTTTTGGTTTGATTTCATCCCGGTCATTTGCAATACTGTCTACAGGGAATTTTTTATTCACCATTAAAGACATTTACTTCACGGACATGTTAAAATTGCCGAGGGTTGTTTTCTTCAAAGAGGGCTTTTGTGAGAATGTTTATATTTATATTTATATAATTATCCTAAACCCTATTCACCCAATTCAAAATACACTGATGAATGCGCATATAGGTGCTGAGGCTCTTCAAGTGCTAATTACATAAGTCTCTATTTTGACCACCTTATTGTGATTCAGCCCCTAATAACCAGTATATACAATTAAACCAAATCTTTAAATCATTTATTGAACATTAAATTATTGAAATGTCAGGGATTCTTCCGTGTACTACAGTTTTTGGGCTTCAAAAATAAACAAACCAAAATGATTGATTGCTGAAGTAGTACCACAGCTATACCCCACCCTTTATTCCACTACTCTTTTGAGCGACAAGTGAGAAGACGATGCAAGTGCCTAAGAATCCAAGAAGGTTGAAAAACGCTTTACGTGAATATTCACGTTCCTCTTCCTCTGAGCGAAACGAAGCAAAGATGCGTCGAAGATTCGGTAATCCCTATACAAGCCGGTTGATCAAAGAATATTAGTCAGTCAATATTGGCCAATTGAGTTTATATTTCCTCATTGATTTATACACTGTGCCTTCCTATTCCTTACCATTTTTGTTAATTAACTCTTTTAATGAAGATGGTTGGTCAACTAACGAGAACACACAATGGGGAAGTAAATCGAAAGCATGCAGTGTAGTTTGGGGTTTCTGGTGATCTGCCATCGATTTACCCCAAGCTCAAAAAACTTCTTTTAAACGAATATTTTAAAAAGTTACTGGTATAATGTAACCTGAATAACGAACTTGGTATATAAGAGAGTATAATCTAGTTTATCTTATCTTTAGTAGAATATTAATCTATAGAAGGCCTTCACGAGATTACCCGGCTTGTGGCCACCATATAGAACTATTGAATGACAGGTTTAAATAATAATTTTTTACGTTGAATCTGACTGTTACAAAAATATAAAAAGCAAGTGTTGATTTAGTTGTTTATCTAGCGGAGATTTTTCCATGATTCTTGATTAAATATATTCTCTTTTGTAGCAAACACACAATTGACCAAAATTTTAGTCTTCCAAAAGCCAGCAATGAAGCATAGTGTTTTGGGTGTACAATGCGATATACAATAAATTCAATATAACTCATTCTTACGATTTAAGTTAATGTAAGTAAAAAAACAAGCTTGGGATATTTTTAAATAAATTTCATAAGTGATTAATTGAAACTAATAAAAAGAAAAAGCTTTTCCCAAAAACATCTTGGAATTTTGAAAAGATTAAACATATTACAAAAAAATAAAAACAAAAAAAATAAAAACAAAAAAAATAAATACAAAATTGAAAATAAAAGATATATCATGTTTAGAAACATAAATAAAATTTTAAATTCGGTCAAAATAACTTGAAACTTCTCTGATTTCCTAAAAGGTATCCCAATATTCCCTTTCGATTCAAAAGATCTTTGAGAAAACTATCATAATCCTAAAATATATGTCTGCGGCCATATCCACTGGAAAGCACGATTTCCCGTCCGATCAATCATAGTTAAGCCAGTGAGAGCTTTCATAAGTACTACGGTGGGAGACCACGTGGGAACATAAGGTGCTGCAGTCTTTTTTTCATGAACCTTTGATTGTTCAAATTTATAAAACTTTCTGGAAAACCCTGTACCTCCATTAATTTCTTTTCGAAACTCGAATAAAATAACTGTCTTCTTTCCCTAAATTGAGTTGAAACCTCTTTAGAAGATTACAGCTTGTTCATAATTTATCTACTGATAAACCTTCCTATTTGCCAAAAATCAGATATTGGAACATTTTTTCTTTAAAAATTTGAAAGACGTAGACAGGACGGTATTGTAAGATCTTTTTGGCTTTCAATCTTTATAATTAGCTTTCCATTTTTATGTTTGAGCTTTGCATAGTTTCGATGGATGATAATAGCTTCAAATTATTTTCAGAAATCTATGATAAAAGATTTTAGCACAGTATTCTTTATTAGCTTGACGTAGCAAGTAATCTCATTATCTACAAAGGTAGGCATGATTATACGCAGAAATCTTTTGGTTGGGTCTGGATTTATTCTTCTCTTAATTTAGGGATACAGGTCTTAGATCTGTTTGAAGGTTAGGTTTATTTTGTATATGTCTATCATTATTGACGTCCTTAATGATATTTCCATTAGCCAAGCAATTAATATTTTCTAGCTCGTTTGTATTCTTGATGAATTACTAACTTAGTTACTAGAGAAATACAGCTTTTTGCATTAATCTAACAGTCTAACGAAATAATTGTTTTTCACACACAAGCTGGTGATTATCGTAGGTTTATAGAGGTATAAAAGTCTCTTATTTCCCCACAAGGCTTTTATAAATAAAAGCAATGAAGCATTTTCTTTTACTTTTTCTCTTAATTCTAAACCCAAACATGAGGCATACGCACTGAAACGAAGAAACATTTGTTAATTAATGTCTCGATTCGGGTTTACCAATTGATACTGTTGACATGATATATATATATATATATACATTATTCATATATAAAGTCTGGTATTTTTTTATTGCTAAAAGGCGTGTATCTATTTCCTCTAATTCTGTAAATTAATAGTGAAAGACTTTACTTATCTAATTCGAAAACTAGAAAAAAAAGTTTTTGACAACTAAGGGGTTCGAACCCTTGCATTCTTCCGAATAGTAGATAGCATTTACCGAAGTAGGAAGCTTAAGTCTACCGCCTTAGACCACTCGGCCAAATTGTCGAAACAAATTCGTGGGCCCAACCGGGAATTGAACCCGGGACCTCTCGCAACTAAGATTAGATAACCCTAAGCGAGAATTATACCACTAAACCATCGGGCCTACTTTTTATTACAAAAGAGAATATGGGCATGACACCTCAAACCTAATTGCCCTCCAAATTTAAAGAATTGAAAGATATTTTTATAAAACTAAAAAACTCATCTACAGAAAATACAAAATTCTATTTTTTTGTGTTTCTTCCAATTTATATATATTACTTCAAATATGAAATAGAGGTTTTAATTATTATAATAAATACTACCATAAAGAAACAAACGTTCACAAAAGTCAGAATAGTTTTTCCGAATCTCGCTGTCAGCCATAAGGATGTAGGACACAGGGAGCCTCGCATTTCTCTATTTCTTCTTATCTGTAAAATACCCATCTTAAGGTAATTGAAAAATTACAAATCAATTTTATTTTAGAAATTAAGAATGTCAAGTTACATTAGCCCCTAAGCAGCGAAATAAAAATATATCAACTGATTCGTCACTTTTTTATTCAAAAAGCATTATATTTCTTAGTAGGAATAGAAGAAAAACATAACAATAATAAAAATAAATGGTAAAATTGTATATTTATTAGTCACAAACATTAGTTTAATACTTAGGCGGTCTGACCAACAGCGCCTTCCACTTTGTCAACAACAGCAGATCCTTGAACAAGTGTTTCAGCAGAGCTCTTGGGGGCTCTACCTTCAAGACCAATGAATTTTTCGTCTCTCCAAGGGCCATCATCAGCTAAAGCAACACCACCTACAGATTCACTCTTACCACCAAACATGACAGGAAGGTTTTCGGCAGGAATTTGCTTAAGTAATTCACTTTGGTATTTGGAACCAAGAACAAAAATCTTTGTAACAGTAACAGGATCTAAGAAACGCTTGATCATAGAGAAAACAGTGGCAAAACCGAAGGGGGCGTTAATGACGTAGAATTTACCCATACGCTCGGGGTAGTAGTTTTGACCAATATTAGAAGCTTCTTTAAGGTAACCATAGACAGAAGAAGCAGTACCAAGAGAGACACCCTTAAGATCTAAGATAGTACAGGAGGTCTCAACAAGGTGGCCAGTCATACGAGAACAGGCAGGTAAACGATGTTGGGTGAAGGCTTCGTATTCCCAGACAAGGTTCTTAAGCATACGTTCTTGTGTAGTGATTTTGTACATTTCAGTAATGTTCACCTTACCAAGTTGCTCGATATAAACGGGACGACCATCCTTATCAGTCTTATGATAGTATTGAGGATAGTACTTAGCGACTTCAGCCTTTTCGTTGTAGTGAAAATCCTGAAGAATAGTGTCGGTACCATATTCTACTCTCCACTTTTCGCAAGCGATGAACATATCCATAGCTAATTGAATATCAAACTTTCTGGCACGAAGAAATCTGAGAAGAGAAGCATCATCAAGACGATTCTTATAACCATGGGCTTCAAGAAGAGTTCGTAATTGAATAAGCTTATCCTCTTGATCCTTGGTTAAGAAACCAGGATAGCCATCACGGGAGTCAGGGGCAGCAATTTGAGGGAAGGAAGCACTAAGAACAAATTGAATAGTTAGTAAAAATAATCCAAAATCAGATGAAACAATCAAAAGAATATTTTTTAAAAGAATCAGTAACCAAAATACCTGAATGCTTCATTGTCAAGTAAAACTTACAGTAGCTCCTAAAAAGAATATTATAGTAATTAGTAAGGGGTTTATACGAAAATTTGTTTAACACCAAGCTGACAATTAGAGGTCAATGAAAAAAAAGTTAAACCAATAATTAAACAATAAAAACGTACCTTTTCGGGTATCTGAGCAGTCATTGATGATAAGAATCTAGATTAATCCTGAAAATGGTTAAAGATATAAGTTAGTAAAAGATACTTTACGAACAAGCAATACCTACAGGCGTATATAGCTATCTGGCGTCACAATAATTCTTGAAACACCTTCTAACTAAATTGTGGTTTGCGGCGGTACCTCTCCAATAAGTAGACTAATGGTTGACTTGTATCATGTATATTATAAACGTGGTAAATATGATCAACCAACATATAAAAAGACATTCCATAAATCCCCATCAACCACAACCTTGACAGATTTTGAGCATGTAGCACACCACAGATAAGATAAGATTTAAAGCTACTATTCAACGATAATAACATACAATTATGATAAATAATATATATAGATCAATTCTGTTGTATAACAAAAGTTGTTTGCGGTGAAGATATTTCGACGCTTGGCTGTCCTGTTTCTTGGGTAAAACAGACAGATCCGATACGCCTAACCTAAATGGCCGGGTAACGAAACATGACCAATCAAACACTATATGTGATATAACATTATCATGAAAAATCATAAGTATATAATGTCCCAACTATTTTGTAAATTAATTGTAAATAAAAATAACATAATATTGCTTAAGGGGAAAAAGATTTTGAGATGACTTTTGAACAGAACATATAAAATTAATTATGATGCAATGAGAAAAAGGGTTTCTATTAAAAACATTAATCTGGGGGTGGATAATAAATGGCCCGATGGTTTAGTGGTATAATTCTCGCTTAGGGTTTTCTAATCTTATTTGCGAGAGGTCCCGGGTTCAATTCCCGGTTGGGCCCACGAATCATCATGATCTCTTGGCCCAGTTGGTTAAGGCATTGTGCTAATAACGCAAGGATCAGCGGTTCGACTCCGCTAGAGATCATCTTTTTTAAAAATATACTTGTTTTTCCTCTTTATCCCCAAGAAGAGAAAATAGAAATATCATCTTGATTTTGAAATGGTGTTGTAAGTCATTTTATTTGTGATGATACGTTATAGGTACTTCAGAATCTTGGGTAAGTAGAAATTTTCTTAGATTTGTTTTTATCTTACAGAAGGAAGTTAGACGAAAATTATTATTTGCCTTTGTGGAATGAAATTCAACTTTTTCTGCGACTCAATTACACAAATTTTTTCTTTCTCAAAGTTTAGTTTATAAAAAAACCCCTATTTAGAAAATCAAGGAAATCCAGTTACTAAAAATACATTTGAAATAAAACTATTTGAAATCGGTGCTCAAGTCTGCTAACCTATACTTAGATATTTATGAAAGAATATGCAAAGTTACAAAATCAAAAACTGATGTATACGTATCTCTCATTAAAAACACAGTACACGAGATTAAGAGTGATTTTGATACTAATTGGCATAATTAATTTTATCAAAAGTGATATAAAAAATGCCACACAAATAAGATTAAACACGTTCAATAGTCGTAATCACTATCTTCATCACTTTCCCAGCTCCACTCATACTCGCGTGCCAACTCATCCGTGTCATTCTTGAGCTGTTCCCTAGTATCGCCTCGGACAAATTTAGAAACAAAACGGGTCATATCAGAAAATACCTTTTTAGGAGTAGTTGTTACTGCCAGAGAGCTGTAAGTATGGTCCTCAGGTTTAATCATATTGGGATACGAGTTGGGTGTAGGGTAGGGAATATTACACTTAAGCTCAAATAAAGAGCGTTCCATCGTCCCATCACTCTGTAGGAAAGCACTTTGAAAGTAGCGATCCCACAGTAACGCCGACTTTCGTGAAATCTTTTGAGGATCTTCACCGACATTATTAGACTGAGGTGGTCTTAAAATTCCGGCTTTAGAAAAGGTATGCACGGATTTAGTTTGCTTAGAGGAGCTGAACAAAGGCGCAGTTAAGTCAATGATACCTGAATCTTCAATAGCAACAATAGTACTAGAAACAATGTTTCGGTTACTGCCACCGCTGAGAGCATCAGCTATATAATCCATGCTATATGAAGACCTGGATAAAGTCGGTAGTAGCGAAAAAGATTCTAAAGCAATATTCTGCATTGCACCTACATGCCAGCTACTATTTTTTTCAAATTTAAAACCAAAATTAACTGGAAGAGAAGGAGTTGAAATAGGAATAAATAGAGATGACAGCTGTGTCAATTCAACCGTAGATCTAATTCTTGATAGCTCATCACGCCGTGTGAGATTAACCGTTTCGTCATTATAGAGACCCCAAAGGAATATCGTGGTTTTGGGCAGGAACTCGTCTCGTAAATTGATTAGTATATCAGCTGTAAAGCCACCCCAGGCACTATCGACATCGGTCACCATATTAATACCAGATAAATTATCGCATTCTTCAAGCAAGGGGCGAAATTTTGTTTCAAGATATTCATTATCCACGTTAACTTCTTGCCACTCGGCCTGCCCGACTTCAAAATCCTTAAAGGCTCGTTTTCCGTCACCCCGACTTCTACCCCCGGGATATTCATCGGGATCATACTCCCAATTGCTTAACTCTTGCTGTGATCGTGGATGTAAAAACAGCCTCAAATAGTCACTCCAGTATTTTGTATTTTCTGTTGTTAGCTTTGGTATTGAAGTATCCGGCTCGTAAGCCAAATTATCTAGTGCCACCTGATACTCGCTCTTAGGTACCATATCTTGTGAGATCCTCATTGGCTTAGAAGAATCCCACACTGACGAAGGAACAATACCTGAAGAGCCTAATCCAAATTCCTCTAAGCCATCAAAGTCATAAAGAGAGTTGAACTTTGCTAACGAACCGTAACCGCCTCGCATGTCCCAGATCATGGCCCTAGGAGTAAACGTTTCAGACTTGCCATCAGTAGCAATTCCCTGACGAAAACTCATACTATGTAAAATGCTTTCCTTGGCTTGCTCTTTTTTCTCGGAAAGATCTTCAGTTGCAGACTCGAAATCCAGTTTGGGTGCATCATTGCTATAGTCAAAATAGCTCTCTTTAGCATTCAAATAATGAGTGGTAAGGTGATTAGCCTTATTAGACAGCGACAGGTGTAAGATTTCTTTCATTGTAAAAAAGTTCTATTATTCAATTAATAATAATGAACCTAAATGGGTCTTTTTATTAACAAAATCCAAGAATCTGGCAGCCAATATATTTGTAAATGCTTTCAGAACTTAATC